CATAAACAGGACAGGTGAAATTATTATCTATGTAAAGACAACCATAAACACATGAAAAGACCTAGGTTTACAATTTATGATTAAAACTCTACTATCTACACAATATACATAGACATAAAATGTAAAAACTTAAATACCTTAGAAACAGTAGCCAATCAGTTGTTTTAATTGTCATATTTGAATTCAGCACATCAAAATACATAATAAATAGCACATTTTATCTCTGAAGCAGACGACTTCTCAAAAATTGTAGACCAGTGAAATCAGTCCCCTTTAATTTGTCTCAAGCTAAATGCCCAAAATTTGAGAGACCCCCAAATCGCCAATCATTTTGGAAAATTTAGGAGCCTGTGTACAAGTGGTGACCTGATTTCTAAAGGAGCTGAGGGCCTAGATTCAGTGGGAACTACTGGCTGCTCAGCACCTTTGAAAATCAAACCACTTATTTAGATGTCTAAATATACATTTGCGAGCCTATCTTCAGGCATCTCTATTTATAAATCTTGGCAGTAATTCTTACTCACCCCAATCTTTATTCCGGTGAATTCCCAGTGAAATCAGCATACTGTACCTCACTGTTCTCACTGTATTAAATGCACATGTATATACGAACAGAATATATTTTATTGTGGTGACTCATTAGCTATTTAAAGACATTACAATAAGCAAGTTTGCATGCTTCACTGAGAACCTCACAAAAGCATGTAATATTTTCTGACTGAGTAGCTTGATTTTACATTAGTATAAAATGACTGCTGGCTCTTCTGCTTGTACTATACTATGTATTTTCATTTATATCTTTGTATTTTGTAACTGTAACCCTGTTTTTTGCATTGCATCATGTATGTTAAAAGTTTAAATTATATTTACATTTCAGCCAAGATTATCTGAACATTTGGAAACATATACATTCATAATCTCTGATACTCCCTTCGTTCTTGAACAGGATTTTCATACTAGATATACCACAAAATTATGCAGGATCTCATTTTGCACTTGTAAAATGTCAATCTAGAAATGAATTGAGCTGCCTAATATTTATGGAGCAGTCACTATATGTGACTAACAACTTGTCAGGTCTTAGGCCTGGTCTACCCTGGGAGGCGGAGGGAGGAATCAATCTAAGTTACGCAACTTCAGCTACGTGAATAACGTAGCTGAAGTCGACGCACTTAGATCTACTTATCAGTCTTCACTGCAGTAAATCGACAGCTGACGCTCTCCTGTCAACTCTGCCTGCACCTCTCACCCTGGTGGAGTACCGGAGTTGACAGGAAAGCGCTCGACGATCGATTTATCACGTCTAGTCTAGACACGATAAATCGACCCCCACTGGATCGATCGCTGCCCATCAATCCAGTGGGTAATGTAGACAATGTGGCGCAAGAAACTCTTTTTTTTTTTCTGTTTTCACACCACATGTTATGCAGCAAGTGATGGTTATGGATTTAATGCTTTAGAATTAAACAAGAATTAAACTGGAAGATCACACATGCAGTATTCATTGCTAACTGCAGTTACATAAAGACCATTGCAAACTCCACAACAGTATTTCAGAAAAAAAACAGGTTCCTTAAAATTGAAGTGGTGAATGTATCTGTCTCCTAGACAGAAGTTCTAATGCAAACATTTTTGACCAAATTCACAAATGTGAGCTATATGTCATGAGAGAATGGAAAAAGGAGGGTGAAGAGATAGTCTCCCATGTGGATACTCAACAGATTTAAAATATACATATGTTTGTTTCAGCAGATATAGTAATATTACCAGGAGAAATGAGGCTGACTAGAAGATCTAGCCACATAAGGCTTAATTAGGCTGTAGCCTGTCTGACTGTGGATCTGTCGCTTGCATTCAGATATTTGACTGAAATGGAAAAGATTAATACAGTATTATTGCAGCTTGATATAGTGCTACTCAGAAGTGCTGTGTTGCATCTTAAGTTGATTCAGAACATACATTTGTAGTGTTTGGTGAAAATGGCTAAATCACATTATTGTTAGCTAGCTAAAAGGATATTCAAGTATAAGATGTGTAAATATACCGTTCCCTCCTCATCCTGACAAATATAATGCCCTGCCAAAATGAGAGATTCAACAAGAAACAACTCAGGATGCTGGAATGTGTATGTAATTACAGGCGCTTGCATGCATGATGTACCATGAGCCCACCACGCCCACTGCCGACTCTGTTTTTGTGAGCAGTCCTGCTGTTCAAATTGTAGAGTAGAATTCTTGTCATTGTTAATACCTTGTATGCTCATGACACCAAAGCAGGCAGAAAAAATGGATGATATTATTTGGATCCTCATGCCGTGTATATCTAGGTAGCCACAAATGAAACTCCTTTGTCACTTGACTTTTTTATTCTAACATTAAATCCTTAAATGCACATATATGATACAATTGCACACCTCCTCTCTGTCTATGTGTACATATAAAAACAAATACAGTGATGTATTTATTTGTAAATATAGGTCTGCATATAGATAACAGATTTTCTTAAGGTGCAGCCATTTGGGATGTTCTGAAACCTAAATAGAGGAGGTGATAATGTAAAAAGTATCTTGTGTGATAGAAAGTTGGCTTAATGGTTTGTAATGATGGTAAAGTGCATTTCAGCAGAATATTAATCAACAGAATCAATATCTGTGTGCTCTTGTGCATGCTGTACAACAGTACATTCTTGGTTATTATATGATGATATCCCTTCAAATAAGAATGGAAAACAGATATCATGAACAATTAAATAATTTACTAACAGGAATTGTGCAGCTAATTCAAAACATCATTGCTGAATATATGTCCAAAGTTAACAAGCCATTCTGGGTTAGTATGGCACAATGTAAGTTTTGCTTTTCCTAATATCAGTTTATTTTTCACCCCCGTAATTTGTGAATCTGTGAATAAATAAATAAAACACATTTGTTGACCCCTTCTATGCCCTATATGCATATGGGCTTGAGTATTTTATTATATGTTCAAGTTAGATTTTTGCATTTGAATGTGCAGCTTAACCCAATGGTTACTAAGTGGGAAGTCACAGCTTGAACTACTGCTGAAGTCTTCAGCTTCAAGGTCATCCACAGCCTTTTTAATGGGGAGGGAAAGCCAAATCTAAACACAGCCCAGCAAAGTCTGTTGCACTAGATTTGGACCCTATCATATGTAGATTGTATTTGAGTGAGGAGTATAATAGAGAGCCAACCTTCTAAGCAATGAAAACAGACTTTTTCTATGTGCATACACCCACAGGATGGTGGTAGCAAAGATAAAAGAAACAGGGTATAGCATTTCTTCCATAACTGCAAAAAAAAGTTTAAAATATTTCTAAGATCTTTAGCACGCTTTAAACTGCCCTGTGTTATCAGTATTCAACTAAATAGTTTCTATGTCTGAACATATTGAATGCTTTAGTAATTATAAGCTCAAATTCCTATTAAATGAATACTGATCATTATCAGGATATGGACTCTGCTTTTCTTCTTAGGCTATTTTCATTTGTTTCTTCTGCACCCTTTTAATGGAATATATAGGTCTCTTGAAAGGTAAGGTTGAAAATTGCAAGCCTAGCCTGCATAATGTAACAAATTATTGAAATGCAGCACTTTTTTTTTTACTAGATAAAAATCAATAGATTTCATTTAACCGAATTCATTCTTCATTCATATTCAAGAAATCAGTGAATTACAAAGTTTAACAGACTAACTTCATAGCACAGCATAAGCTTTTTCTTTGAAGAACAAAGAACTTGCTCTTATAATGTTAACAACCCCCTTTTTAATGCTTGCAGTTCTTTTGCTTCCAAATCAAGAGCAGAATATCTTATCACTGAAAAACCATGCACGATGGAAAAAATGCACTCCCTCTACTGAAGACATTATATGTTTAAACCATTTCTACACCATGTATTTATCATATCAGTTTGTTTCTACAATGTGATTGCAGGATTGTAGGACTGGCACATGCTTTTTAAAAGTCTGCATGCATGGTTTGTTTTGGTTTTGCTTTTGTAAATTCTGATATGTCTATTAATTATTTGAATTTCCTGTATTTTTCCAGTGACGCAGAGGATCATAAACCTCTAAAGAAAGGAAGCCGAACACCTTCAGACAGGACTGTGAAAAAGGAGGACAGTGATGATAGTTTAGTTGACTATGGCGAAGGTGTAAATGGTCAGTTCAATGAGGATGGCTCCTTTATTGGACAATACAGTGGTAAAAAAGAGAAAGAACCTGCAGAAGGAAATGAAAGTTCTGAGGCTCCTTCTCCTGTCAATGCCATGAATTCCTTTGTTTAATCAAGAAACTCAATTCCCTTCCTACAATATTTTCCATTGTGTTTAAAGCACTTGTGCATCCTCCTTCTCATGCTAAGAACATACAGGTGACAAAGCTCCTAGCAACAAGATGTTTATACTATGAGAACATATAGGTCAATACAGTTACACACTATAAAAACACAGTAAGTGATATGTTAGTATGAATCAAAGTGCAAAAGTCAAAAAATTTGCTCTGAATTTGAGTATTTTTGCTTTTTTTAAAAATAAACTGACAAAAATAATATAACATCATCTGATAATGTTATTTCCTGTCGAAAATACAGTATAATGCATGAAAAATGCTACACATTTCACAGATAAACCTGTGTATACTATTAAAATCTGGTTTGATACTTTGTTATGCAGTCCTCAGCTGAATCCCTGGATATGAATTCCGTTTTCATTGTCAGAGTGTTATAGTAGTGTTATATAGAACTTCAATGTCTTTGTGGACATTGTTGTGAAATTGGTGACTTAATGTCTAGCTATCATATGTCTTTTTGCAAGACAATTAGGAACAGTATGTATGGTATATAATTGCTAAATGATTTAATTATGACACTTGCATTTGCTGATGCTTACTGAGACCCTGTTATCTGCTCTTTGTTCCTATTACTTTATAGCCTTCCTAATCTATCAAGTATTACAGCACTACAGTGTTCTATTTTTACATCGTGTATATGTTGGATTGATTTTAAGACATAAAACAATATCCGTTGCAATGCATTTTGGAATTTGTACAGTCACTGAAGTGAAATTTTAAAATGAGACAAAATATTCCAGAAGACACAGGGCAAAATACATTCAGTGCCTTTATAGAATATGCATTCCATAATGCACTGTACTACTAAGTTGGTGCAATAAACTGTGATTAGTGAACTACTATCATTGCCAAACAAAGTAACTGGTAAAAAGCAGAGATGTTATGAAACGGTTGAGCTGCAAAATGCAAGGTTTAACATTTTTTAAATTACACAAAGCACAATATGATTTTTTTTCCTTGAAGATAAAATAACAGCTTTTAGACAATTAGAGCACAACATGATTTCATGGCCTTACACAGTTTACACAAAAATGGCTGAATTCAGATATTTTACTAATGCTGCAAAAACCTAAAACTCTCTTGCAAAATATGTTAAAAAATACCATGCCAACAACAGCACATTTTCCTCCGAGTCATTGCTTGACCCATGTGGCAGCTTTTGAAATTATCTACAGCATGAAAGCAGTGTGTAGATTACTGCTCAGAACCACAAAATTCAAGGAATCTGACAAATGCTAACAAGGTTTAGTGGTAAAGGATTACTGTTATCAGTTACAAAAATATTCTCTCACATACTATATCAATCAAACGGTTTACCTCCAAATATGAAATTTTATAACAACCTATGGTTGAAGGAATGCTCAGTTTCATTTGCCAATAAATTGGTTTTTCATAACTTGCATCAAGTTTAATTTTAAGTATGCTTTTTATATGTAGATATTTGTTGAATTTGTAAATACACTTAAAGTGTAGATGCTATATGCTTCTAGGTGTTACAAACAAATAAACAAAACAAAAAAAGCCTATGTTGTACTGTGTAAGAAGTACTATAGCCAATGGAGTGCTTGGTATTTTAAAGCATCTACTTAAATATATATTTTTTGCTGTGAAAATGAAATAGTGAACTGTTCTACTTATTTACTGCAGATTTCTAGATATTATCTTAAGAGCTTGTGTCCGTGGATTCCATTAGACCATAGTACACCTTGCAGCTTTTATGTATGTATCGTAGGTAAAGCACAATTTGAAGTAATCACAAATTGAAGTCAGCCGTACAAGCTTCTTTTGCACCGTTAAGCTTTCCATAATCCATTTTCCTTATGGAAACAAAAACAAAAAATGAACTATATAACACTGATTACAAAGCACAAAGAGAGTTTCTTAATAAGATTTCCCAACGGTATTGATAACAATAAAGTGAAATTTTATTCTTCTTTAATTGTAGATGCTGAATTTATCTGTGCATGTAAGGGTACACATACAGGCTCACTTCTGTAATAGTGCAACAGTTTTTGTATTAAAAATAAATGTGGTTTTAAAATTTCATTGTTTGTTCTGTTCACAAAATATTGATCTGATTTACCTCATATTTAAGAACTTTTAAAGTGAAAAAACATCATAAATGAACTACAGCCAGGTTATTTTCAGAATGTTGCAGTTCATCATTTCAGTAATATCTGTTGAAAAATATTAATGATGGGCCTGATCCTTTCCCACTGAAATCAAGTTCTATTCAAGTTCCTTCACTGTTTTCTTTCCCTAGATACATTATTTGATCAAAACTGACGGCATGCTGCAAAAGACAAAATTACATCCCCACATTCACCCAAAAAGAGAGACATTCCATACTCATTTGGGCCACTCCTAAATTCAGATTTGGGCTCCAAAATAAAATATCTGATTTTCAAAAGTGCTGAACACCCAGTAGCTCTCATTGACTGTTGAAATCTAGGCAGTCTACAGTCTACAGTAGACAAGATCCATTGCAATGTACACTTCATACCTGGTCTGGACTGGGTATGAATAGAAACAGATTAGATAGGTGCCTGCCTATGAGTTGTTATTGAGAAAGTAGATAAAGCTGTGGATTTCATGGGTGACAGGAAATAAAGAGAATCTATGATTCTTGGCCAGGCTAATTTGGAAAAATGATTCTGCTGGTGGGCCATAAGTCCCTTTACCAGTCCTCTCAACCAGGTATGTCATTTGATTACCTGTGGATATTCTAGTTTCCAGTATATGTGCACACTCACAATTCTGGCACATACAGGTCAGAACTGAGGTATAGAATTGTGCTCCTTTTTCTGTAAATGGGTCTGTTCTTTTCTCAAGCAATATGCATTCAGGATACATGTAAGGGGGAATTTAGGTACACGCAAGATAGCCATTTCTGTTTTGATTTAAGTGTCATTCCTGGAAAGAGCTGTGGATCTTTGAATTGTGGTGTTTGAACAAGAGATCTCTTTTTATGATTTTGTTTTATTTGGATGCTTGCAGAAATTAGTGTTCAAACATAAAGAAAGTTTTAGTATTTTACCTTTTCTTTTTGGCTGTGTTTTTATTGAAATAGTGGTAATTAGGGAGATAATTAGGGGAAATTACCCCTAGGTAATTCCTTTTGTTGTAGTCTCCTCTCCTGCTGCCCATCCCAGGGAAAAATATTCAGGACAGATTCTTTTTAGGCTCACCTACCAGAGGAAAAGTGACAAAAGATCTATCAACCAAACTTTCTATATAAGCATCTGGCCTGCCTCAGTCTTTCCAAACAGCAAATTCCCGAGCTAAAGAAAGAAAGCAGTACGAGACATCCTGGACTACAGTAAAAGAGATGAAAGCAGATTGCCCCAGAGAGGGGAGTAGATTATGATGCAGGTTAGAAGAAGAGGAGATTTCAAGAATGTCTGGTGAGTAAATTTCCCTATTTGCATATCTCTCTCTCTTCTTCTGTCCTAGGAAAGAACATTTCAAGTAAATGGCAGATGCAGTGAGCAGTATCAAAGGAGGGAGAGACTTTCCTAAGGGTCAGAGTAGCAGCCATGTTAGTCTGTATCCGCAAAAAGAACAGGAGTACTTGTGGCACCTTAGAGACTAACAAATTTATTTGAGCATCTCTAAGGTACCACAAGTACTCCTGTTCTTTTTACCTAAGTGTGCAGCTCATAGGACTTTGCACTCGGGGTGGTAATACTTTATGAATGTGTGTGGGGATGAACATGTTGCCAGCTGCCTTTTATGCCAATGAAATGGAAGCCTTAGCTATGCTGCCCAGGTGGTGAATATATCCCAATGGGCTTTTGACAGGCTCTAGATATGATCTACCATGATTGTAAACCAAAACAATACACATTTTGATCCATCTGATCTGGCAACCACTGGTTTATTGCTGCTTTGCCCTCAGGGCAAGAGAAACCCACAACTTACTCAAACCCATTTAAACATAATAAACAGAACATCAGAGCATGCTTAATATGTAAAGAATAGAGTCTTCTGTCTCGTGACTCAGGGGGAAGAGTAACAATGGGTTCCTTGTCACAAAATCCAGAGTTTGCCTTTGATATTAATGTTAGGGATAAATGGAATGCTGCCTTATCTGGAAAAAAGCTTAGAGATATGGCAATGAAGAGAAAGCTCAGTTCCCCCTGCTGTCTAGCAAAGGTCATTACAGCTAAGATGATGACCTTGTAGTACCATTTCCCCAGAGAAAGAAGAGACGTCACATGAGGACATACATTACCAAAGAAAATTCCCAAGGATGGACTACTTGTCTGTAAATGGGTTTTTGCAGTAGAAAAAGTTGAGGAAGTCTTTTAAGTGTTTCTACCTGCAATGGGTCCTCTGATAGCTGACAGTGCCCAAGCATAGAGTCTGTCTTTGCTCTCTGTGAAACTTCGGAAGGATAAAGTTGAGGCCATTTTACAAGGAACAGGGTTTGTATTTCTCTACATGGTTTATTTGAAAAACACCTTCCAAATACAAGAGAAAGACTTGTCAGTAGATGGCTACCTTCTGCTCATCAGGAACTCCATGGGGGGAAGGGATAGCTCAGTGGTTTGAGCATTGGCCTGCTAAACCCAGGGTTGTGCATTCAATCCTTGAAGGAGCCACTTAGGGATCTGGGCAAAATCAGTACTCAGTCCTGCTAGTGAAGGCAGGGAACTGGACTCAATGACCTTTCAGGGTCCCTTCCAGTTCTATGAGATAGGTATATCTCCATATATATTATTATCATGGGACAATCTCTTTTCCAAGAACTAGTTTCACTCAACTGTTGTCTCTCAACTTGAGGTGTTCAGACTGAGAGAAGAGAACTGTGCCTTCCAATAAAAGATCTTCTTTCGTATTTTGGATATATTCTAAGAGGTGGAAGGAATATCCCAGCTGCTGGCTCCCAATGATACACAAGCATATGTGTGCTCTGGGCTTCTGGCTTGACCATCTGGGAGCAGAATCAGGGAAGTTTAACCAGTCTACTGCTGGTGTCCCCATTCTGCACCTGCTCTATGAAAAATTCTGGGACTGAAACTCCATTATTTAGAAGTGAGCTAACTACAGCTGAGCCAGTCTCTGATAATATTGCTCTTTCTCCTGGAAATAGATGTCTTCCACAGAAAAAAAATTAAGACACTGCCCAAAATCCCAGCCCAAGGTCCTCCACCAGGAGTATTTTGCTCTTGGTTTTCTGCATCTATTCCTGTAGGTAGCAGCAGTTCTTTTCTTGCATTGAAACAAGTTATATCTGTGAAGAATGAAGGGTTTCCAGGTTTTGAGGACTAAGGAGGTGGCATAGTGGTCTAGAAGTTTGATATTCAGACTCTGTTTGGCTGGAGCCTATATGGGGAACCCAGTCTGAAAGACTGGTATCTTTGGTAATGAAAGAAAAAAGAAGTTTGCTGAAACCTGGAGACATTGGAACCATCAGGAGAAAGAAAGCTAAAGGAGCTGAGAGAGAGATAGGTTTCCTTTGGAGATTGGAGGCAATGCTGTAGGACGGAAGGTCTGAGCAGGATCTCTCTCAAAAATGTTTGGATACCAGCACCACTGTGATCTTTGTAAAGACCCCAGAGATGGAAGAGTCCAAAGAGGAGACCAAGTAACTGAAAGGACATGGCAAAGGAACAACTGATGACCATAGTGACTTAGGGCATACAAGTAGCATCCTTGAAGTCAACTGAAAAAAGAAAATCACCCTGGGAGAAACCATACAGGACAGACCTGAGGGGATGAGAGTTTCCATCTGATATTTGCCCTTCCAGAGATAGCAACTAAATAAGCCAATGGTTCATAACTGATGGAATCCACCTATGAGTTTACACACCAATACAGTGTGGCAATAAAATCTATTCCCTTTAAGGAATCTGAGAACTGCCTATTTTAGTAGAAGTGCTGAAACCTCAAAGAAGAGGGCCAGGAATTTTAATGTGTGAGAGTATACAGAGAAAGCAAAAGGGGAGAAGGTCCAAAAGAAACCTGACAGATGAATCTGCCTCACCCAAGTGTCCAGAATGAACAAGGCCCAGACTGCTGTGGAGTTGCTGGGCTCCAACAGGAGATAAATAAGAGAGAGGAAGCTGAGCTACATAGATGTCAGGAGGGCCTGTTGGAAGAGAAGGGAGCAGAAGAAGAGAGAAGCCAAAAAGTGGCTCTAAGTGGATATCGAAGGAAGAAGAGGAACCCTGAATTTCAGTGGAATATTGGCAGAAATGGTGATATATACATGTTGAGGATCTGGCCCTCTGTGCCCCATGCTCATGGAAGCAGAGGATACAATATGAGCCTAAGTGTAGAAAATGTAGTAATTCATTTGATGTTGGGAGAGTAAAACAAAATGAGAACTCCCCCAGGACATGATCTCTCTACCTTTGAAACAGAAGTATACAAACTTTGATTTACAACAATGGTCTACCATACCATATATTTTTTCATTAGTGCAATAGAAACATAGTGAGAGTTAAAAAAATCTAATATAAAAGCTGTGGAGGTAAAAAAAGAAAAGAAAGAATTCTGCCCTTAATAGCAGGTGCCTGGGTTCCCCTTGAAATCAGTAGGAGGCACACATACTCATCCAAGTGTAAGTTTTGATCAAAAGTATTCTATAGTTCATTAACTATGAACATGAACACAAAAATTATATAAAAATCAGACACTGAGCTTCAACCTTGTGCAACCAAAATCAGTTTGAAATCAGTGATAGAGTTGGTTTCACAAGAAGTGCAGGATTGGACCCTCATCTTAATGTAAATTTTACTTCAGCAAAACAGTGACTAGCATTTGTCTATATCTTGGGTATAGATTTCTTCCTGGGGTCGTGCCTATTAAAATGATTAAGTACAGAATTGCATGTTTGTGTCTGAGAGAGAAAGAGAAATTTAAAAAGAATAAAACTGTCAGGTTGCCCGTAGTCTTTTTCAGGATTGGTACTCTATAGACAATAACACTAGCAGTCTTTTTTCTAACTTGGTTCTTGTTCTTGCCATGATGATCAATTACAGGAACACCTTGCTTTATTTCTCAAATAGCAATTATGACCAGTGTGAACCGCACCTTAT